AATGATAAGTTCTAAAGCATATTACGGTATGGATTTGTTCATGGGGGGAAGATGTCGCCTGATTAATATAACGAACTATCCTATACTTCATATGTTTATAATGATCATTTATGCTTAAAACCATAGCTCTGCTATATACAACATGTACTGTGGTGTAAAAGATGTCGGGCAAGAATGACTCAGTAGAATAGACAGAAATGAATGACTTCCAGTAGGATGAATGTCATATGTGCATTAATTGATCCTATGAGTAGTAACCAATGTTGTAATCAATTGATCTATATTATTGACACAATATTTGGTTACTTCGATTACATAACTAAAGGATTACACAAATAAACATCTAAGGCAAAAGTCTAAAAAATTTTAAATAAATTAATTTAAACTAGTACACGTAAGTTACTAGTAGGTTCATTTTTAAATACTTTTCATTTAGGTTATGACTTGACTAGTGTAAAATGTTGATCAATGATAGTTACAAGTTTAAATATTCCCTAAAGTACGAGGTTGCATCAAACAATTCGGTCATAATAGTTCTTTGAACAGACGACAAAATGACAGCTCTCATTCGATTAATCTAATTATCCAGCTCAGAGAACGAGACACCTTCAACATCCTCATTCTGAGTTATAAATATTCTTCACTATCACATAAACTATTTAACAGAGTTCTGGTTTTTAACTAAAAATTGGTCGTTGATAATATTTTGGACTGTGAACCGATACTGATAGTTTAATCCCTACGATAATCATTGGTTTCGTTCACCACTACGAATATATTTTTATGACAAATACCAGCTAGCATGAATACTATATTCACGGTTTTCAGGCGACTACTTTTAACTACCTAACTATAAAACTTAGTGCACATCATATCTTGTCACTTAAATTTGTGACAAAATTATTGATTCGTTGGATTGAATTAAATGATTAAAATCTAAACAGCATGATATAATTTTATGATTTATAACGAAAATACGGATGTAATAGGACGAAACGGCCGTCCAGTGCTTCCAAGTTTTCAATGGTGGTCTAACATCAATCGGTTCGTGATCTCAATCAAAAGCTTAACAATCTTTACAACCACTAAACGGATGATGTAATGAACTGATTGATGAATAATATCCCATGATAAAATATAGTCAAGTGATAACTACTCACGTAAGTCTCTAGTTGGATAGAATTAGAAGACAAGATAACTGACCAGCTTTTTCCTAACAAAATAACATCCTTACATATAAAATATTAAACACAGGAATAGACATGATCACAAGTGATATAACAAATAATTTATTGAAGGATATGGAAACCATAAATCATTTGATATCCATTACAACTATTGTCTAACTATTGAGTTTAATTCTTAATCACTTTGATCACATTAGTTATCAATGTAGTGTTAATTGCCCCCAAATGCACTGGTATGGCCTCTCGAAATACTTTCACACGGCCACGCGTATATAGCCTCTGCCAGGGAAGTCCTACTCACTGCCTCCTCATGGCGAGGGTGTTGTTTACGAAATTGAGAGGACGAAAAGCGAATGTCCAATGCTTTAACCGGATTCCAAATCAATGGTGCACATGGGCTCCAGTATCCTGCGGGAACAAATGGTGTATGAACCAATTATTGGTCACCGGCTACCAGGGAATGCATCTACTCACGATGTTCCACTGCCTTGTGGGTTAGACCTTTAGGTTCAAGGCTCAGGGTGTGGCCCCCTAAGAAAACCACCTACTCCGGTCTGAGCACCCGGGCAGTATACCAGCCCTCACACAAATCGGATGATGTATGTGGCGCATATGTATTTGGTGCCTCCTTGTACCAATATTTATGTGTTTAAATAAATAATTCACTTTGTTATTAAAATTAACACTTAAATCATTGTAGGAAATGATCAACAATACCAGTTGATCAACTCCATTTGACGTGTAAATACCTTCCATATTTTATTTGACCTATTGAAAATATTTAGACATTTAAAAAAAAAACACCATTTCGGTATAAATAAAATTATTGACAACGAATGAATTACTCAAACTCACAAAGGTCGAGGTCATATTAAATTTATATTGTCGTCATACAGATTGCTCAAATGTAAACTGTCTAGTAAAGTCTAAAGAATTAAATTACTAGATTGTAGACTTATGATTTCAATTATAAAATGTCATATTATTAAAAAAAATAAGATCAGTGCAATTTTATGAGTTGAGTTGTGATGTGGCCAGTAGTCTAAATGGCTCGAAATCTCGTGCACTATTTTGCGATGTATGGTTGGGGTTGGATGTAGTTAACAGGATACCTTTATTCATCTAGATTTCAGGTTTTTTGCCACTCGTCCGTAAGGTGTACCTGTAATCTTGGAGGAACTAATGATCCCTGGCAGTGTAGAGTCACCTGAACTAATGGACAAATTGCAACTCTATAGATAGTACTCAAACAGAACTAAGAAGAATTTGACAGACATGATATTGATCACTACTCACTCAGTGACCAGTCAGTTGTAGATGCATCTCAGTTCTATAGATAGTAAGTCACGTCCCAATAGCTCTATGGTAACGTCTCAATCTGTAAAGCTGGATGACATAGGATCGAATCCCCAAAGAGCACCAGTCCCCCAAGATGATGCCTTTCTGATGCGCACAAATAGTGCAAAACGTAAGTGAAGAGGGGTTTCCTGTCGTCTAATACCAATTTACATCTCAACGTCGTGGGATTGTTCACTCGATCATCAGTGTATAATCACTCAAACAAAGAAAGTATACTTCATGTTTAAGTCAAAACGTTATCAAGTCTCAAATGACCAAACGAATAATGTATAAGTAGTATGCAAATAGACAATAAGTAGTTATAATAGTTTGTTCCTAAGTGTATCCGATATACTAACAAAGAAAATCTAGATATGAAGTTTAGCCTGAGGTTTATTGTGGTAAAGCTACTTATGAGTGATATCCGTTAGTATGTTAAAAAGTTGAGCATTAGAATAAACTGCTTTTATGAGATGTCACTGAGGCGAACTCGGGACATTTACATGTATTCATTTTCCCAAAATCAATTTAATAGGTTAATTATAGTAAGGAATTTTGTCAGGTGATATGCCTAATCTTGTTACAGATACACAAGTCCTTACTTAAACTCTTCTCCGCAGAATCAGTAAATGATGTTGAAAGTAAACACATTGATTTTAACAGTGGAACTGATATGATGGAGGAATTAAATAGTTATTTTGATCCTGTCATGAAGTCTGGTAGTCTGAACGCTAAACCAACACTCGTTCGATACACTAGATACGAAATAATTAGACCAGTAGATTGGATCATGTCAGGGACAAATATACGATTTCCGAAGAAATTATTGAGAATCGGAATATAGGCTAGCCAATGCATTATCTAACACAAGTACTCAGTCCCCACACACAAAGAAAACCTAAGTAGAAATCAGTGTTATATTTAAAGAGAAGTAATCTACACAACAGATTACAGTGGGCATATTTGTCTTCGCTTAGCAATCAATCAATGCTAAATTTCACTAAACAAATTAGGAACATAATTCAAACGACTATCATTTATCAAACCAAAGCTGTTTTTGATTAACTTATCTATTTATTTATTGGTATAAGAAGGCACCGAATACATATCCACCACACAAATCACTCGATATGTCCGAGCTGGAATACTGCAAGAACACCCAAACCGAAACAGGTGGTTTTCTCAAGAGAACACGCATTGAGCCCTTTAACCTGAAGTTCTAATTCATAAGGCAGTGAACAACGTTAGGAAGTGCAGTCCCATAGTACCCGGTGACCAACATTACATTCACACTTCAATTGCTCTCTCACGATCCTGTATTCCATTTGCATCAAGGGAATGTATTCAGGGTTTCGCAACTCGTATAGTTGTATCCTCCATACCCACTAACCCGGTTAAAGCCCCGGTCATTCGCTTTCGTCCTCTCAACTTCGTAGACAACACCTCTACGAGAAAACAATGAATAGGACTTTCCTGGAAGTGGTTTTATACGTGTGGTCATGTTAGAGCATTTGGAGAGGGAGAGCTGACTCTCCCATACTCGATCATTGTGAGGATCAGTAACAGTATTGGGCTGTCCAAATTAAAATAAACTTTGAGAATGTCAAATCTACAATCTTCCGCTAGTATTATTATCTTCAGATCCTTTATCAAATTTGATCCAAGCAACAACTACGAATTATTTCAAGTGGATCGGATATATAAACAAAATATAATTCAAACTGAAACTAACATTATGCAATATAATCTTTTTATTTTATTTACAATGATAATAAATGAAATTCACAATGAAGAAAGATGAGTGCAGAAAAAAATAATAAATAACAACTATTCTACTTTCTTTTAATATCATCTTATCATTATGTTTCTTCATAATATCATATCATTCCAATGAATAGAATGTTATTATGGTGAATAATGTGTATCAAGTGTATAAACAATGATTATAGTCTAATTAACAAACGGTCAATATACGTATACTTCTAGAAAAAGAGTAAGAAAGAGAGAGGGAGAGAGGGAGAACAATAGTTAATCAGACGGCTGGATTGCGTTTCCAATTTTATTGGGAATAGAAAAACACAACACTTCATTAGATATCATTATCGGAGTGAATGGCCTGTTTATTCAATCTTGTTTAACTAGAATGGGTTGTTCTTTTTTTCTTTCGAATATATATTCCATTAAGTTCGACAATTTAAAAAGCACATTGAATAATCATTGTTATATGATAAGAAAGTACGACAAATTTGTTTATGAGATAGCAATTATCAATATGTTTACTTTGATAAAGTTGTTATGTGAATTAATTTTGTGTTGGCGCTGAATGAAATACATAAATTTATAAATATCTATTTGACATTATGTAACTGAGTTATAGTACAACTGTACGTTCATCCAATACACTTATATATATATATATATATATATATATATATATATATATATATATATATATATATATATATATATTACGAGTTAATAGGTATATTCATATGGAACTTCGATTATAGTCGATTCAGCTTGTGGTTTTAAATTAGGCTGATCAATACACCACTGATTAACTGGATCTTCATGTTCAGTGAATAATTTACATTCTTCTGTAGATACTGTATTTAAAATTTCAGTAGGTTGATAATTCTTCACTGAACTTGGTAACCATGACGGTGGTAATTGAATATCAAGATTAATTTCATCAGATTTACCATGAATTGATTGATTGTTTAGAGAAGTCCAATTAGAATTTGTATGATATGTTGAACAGTCAGATTTCTTTTGTAAATTTGAACAGTTCTCGTCTACATTAGATTTTTGTTGGATTGTAGGAAGTGATGAAGACCATGAATTATGTGAACATTGTTCATCATTATGAATAATATTTTCAGAATAACTTTGTTGTTTACCATCAGAATATGGTGATGAAGATTTCGATGAATGAGTATTACATTGAGAAAGGGAATGTGACGAAAGATTACAACTTACATTATTTGATTGTTCAGTTAATAAATGATTTTGAATATTATTAACTGGTACATGATCTTCAGCTTGAATAAAAGTATTTGTATGGTGTTCACTGGTTAATTTAGGTGCAGTGTATGTTAAATATTGATGAGTAGGAATTTTGATAGCTTCATCATCAGTTAATTGATTCATGGATTCATTAGAATGAGGTGGAAATTTTGACTTTAAATATAACTCACTGCTTGTATTACTATTATTTAAAGGAAAAAATCGTTTATCATAATCATTAGTTCTTCCTATGTTCTTCTGAAAGTTATTCATTTCATGTGTTCCATTTTTAATGAATTCTAAATCTTCATTTTGATTAATTGAGTGAAAATGTTGAGGATTTGACTGTATGGAATGTGGAATACGTGAATGATGACTGTTGTATTCAATTTGATCGGATGACAATTTCGATGTGTCACCACAATTTAACGAATGTGAATCTTCTTCATAATCACTTCCCTAAAGATTAGTGGAAGCAAAAAAGTAAGTATTTCTCATATGAAAGGAATCATCGATTTTGAAAATAAAGTGCAAATCATACTTAGAACATCTAGTCAGACGAGTTTTCATCAGTCGATTAGTTGTTTCATCCAAGAAATTCGATTGGAATAACTTTTTATTAGTCAGTACAGTGTTGTGAATTTCAGTTAAATCATGAACCGATCTAATCTATGCAACCATGGGAAACCTGGAAACAATTGATGGCCGTTTCGTTCTTGCATCAAACTCCTCGGCTATTCCCATAAAAGAAGACAATGGAAAACTATCAAGCAATGTTGTGGATTAAGCGGAGTTAGTCATTAACACCGTTGAATACCAGACCAGTGGTCTACAGGTTGAAAGAACTTGTGCTACCGGTTCTGGGTTCAATTCCCAAATGGGAGGTAACGGATGCGAATGTTGAAGAGTTTCATACTACGACGAAATGACCGTCCAGTGCTTACTAATTTTACCAGTTGTCTAACTTAGATCAGTTCATGATTTAAAAGAAGCTTTATAATAACTATAAACGGAATATCATACATTAAACATTCAAAAAATTATTAGTTTTGTAACAATTAACTCATTTATAACAGCGCTAATGCATATTTCGGTGGGAAATTAAGAACACTCAGACATAAAATAAAATAAGCGGTATTAATATAATGAGCTTAGAACTCAACTGCTCCAACCCTACTTAATTTTAACCATGTCGTATTTGGTTTCCAAACATAGTTTACAATTATCCCATAGACATAGGTATTCATAAATCAAAGAACAAACAAAACAGTACATAAAACTTAATTCATTTTGTATCGTTTGTTTGAATCTTCCAATCGATGTTTAGGACTATAATTGATCAGTCTCTTATTGGCACAAAACTTTGTGAAATCAGTGAAAAGCATTGAAGTGAGTTTAAGCCACTATATTACTTAATAGTTTCAAATAAATTTAGCACTGGATAGAAGGCTAATGATAAGTACTATATTCGGTTGTTCACTTAGTCTTAAAAAGTGGCTTATGTTAAGTTACGAAACGTCGGAAATACAATTTTTCTACTTATTGAGATATAACAAAAAATAGATTTATTATATTTATGTAGTGTTATCCATTCAAAAGTTCGCGTAATCTTCAGATTTCTATAAGTTACATCACAATCCACGATCTCCAGTCGACCTGAATGGCAAGTTAATGTAAGTCCTCCGACTCTTTACGAAGTTGAAAAAACTATGGGAAATATGAAGCGAGGGAGAGCAGCAGTTCCTGATGGGTTTACTCCTGAAATTTTTAAGGATGGTGGTCCAGTATTAGCAGTGAGATTAACTGAGGTCTTAGGTAGAATTTGGGAACTGGACGTAATCCCATCTGACTGGTCTCAATCACTGATTGTGCCAGTCTATAAGAAAGGACAAAAGTCCTCTTGTGACAATCACAGAGGAATCAGTTTGACTAATATAGTGTCTAAAATATTAGCTTCAATAATACTTCGACGCCTAATTAAAGCTCGTGAAGAGCAGATTAGAGAAAACCAGGCTGGTTTTCGACCTGGACGTGGTTGTATAGATCAGATATTCACACTACGTCAGGTTCTAGAACACAGACACACATTCAGACGCCCCACAATGGTAGTATTTCTCGACCTTAAGGCGGCATTCGACTCTGTTGATCGTGAGGTTCTATGGCAGTGTTTGTCACTGAAAGGAGTACCAAAGAAGTACATTAACCTTATAAAGGCTCTCTACTCGAACACAACTGGTAGAGTGAGAGCTTATGGCGAACTGTCATCAGAATTGATTACCTCAAGTGGTGTTCGTCAGGGCTGTCCACTCTCCCCATTCTTGTTCAACTTTGTCGTCGACGTACTTTTAGAGATAACACTTTCCTCATCTAAATTTCCAGGGGTTGAACTTCTACCGGGAGGTTCACTTGTTGACTTAGAATATGCTGATGACATATTTTTATTTGGTGAAGACGCTGACAAAATGCAGAGTCTTCTGACCACTCTAAGCAACAATGCAAGCATGTTCGGGATGCGATTCTCTCCCTCGAAATGCAAAATGTTGCTTCAGGATTGGGTTACATCGACACCCGAACTAGTGATAGGGAGTGAAGTAATTGAGCGTGTCGACCGCTTCACTTATCTTGGAAGTCTCATCAGCCCTTGTGGTCTGGTGTGTAACGAAATCTCAGCACGGATACAGAAGGCTCGACTAGCTTTTGCCAACTTGCGTCATTTATGGCGTAGGCGAGATATCCGTCTATCAACCAAAGGACGTGTTTACTGCGCAGCAGTTCGTTCCGTCCTACTTTATGGCAGTGAAACATGGCCGGTAAGAGTAGAGGATATTCGTAGGTTACTAGTATTTGATCATAGGTGTCTTCGAAACATTGCTCGTATATCATGGGACCATCGAGTAAGTAACGCAGTTGTTAGGAAACGGGTACTAGGTAAGGATGGCAAATCAATTGATGAAGTAGTGAAACTTCATCAGTTGAGATGGCTGGGACACGTGTTAACGTATGCCCAACGACCGACTGCCTCGACGTGCTATGTTCAGTGGTATAGGAGTAGGTTGGAAGAAAGCTAGGGGCGGCCAAACCAAAACATGGCACAAGTCCATGAAGTCACTGACAAGTGGACTGAGTCATGTTGGTAGGTGTAGACTACCTGGTTGGGGACCGCGAGATGATAGCAACCGATGGTTAGAGACCCTGAATGACACATGGCTCAAAATCGTTTGCAATGGCGCAGGTGCATACACTCTTTGTGTTCTCCCAAATTCTATTGATCTGAATTCTTCATGTCCCTTTTTTCCTCTTCTCAAATTTATTTCACTGGATTATACTCTTTAAATAACATCTCCAAACCCTAATCTTTCCTATTACTGCTTATACTCTTACTACCTCTACCACTATGGGAATTGAATCGACAACTGTATCTCTGTGCTAATGTGATATGGCAACTCGAACTGATGTACATAAGTAAGGTTGTTACTGATTGACTGACTGACATCACGATTCCTCTCTTACATGTGCGGTTTCTCATAACTGTTATACTGGATTCGAAATATGCATCAAACTACTATCCGAAATCAGTTTATGAATAATTATTATTGTAACTGTTGTTAAATTGTACGTTACGATAACTAAAATACAAATTTGTAAACATTAACGATTTCGGTCATCTTCCTAATAAGTGTTATGTTCCTTGATAAGTACACGTAAGTCATTTTTATGAAATGCACATTTATATAGTTCAGTTAGAGAGCCCTTTTACGTTTACTGCCTGTTTTAAACCCGATTTGGTTACCCCGATCCATAAAAATGAATCTTGTCGAAAATAAAACACTAACCAACTGGATGATACTATCCGGCAGTTAAACAGAAGTAGCTCAACGCTACATTTAAACATATTAGTCAGTAATTGAAAGTAGCTACATATTTACTTCAATTTGTAATTATGACTAAATATAAGTAGTTTTTTACAGACAAAAAAATTCCTACCATTTGATCATCCTCAGGTGTATCATTCGTTGTTCCATTAAGAAATGCTGTAGGATCTTGTCCTTGACGTAGAATTTTCTTCAATTTGGAACGTTTATTTTGAAACCAGATTTTAACCTTTGAGTAAAAAAACGAACAGGAGTAAAATATATATATATATATATATATATATATATATATATATATATATATATATATATATATATATATATATATATATATATATATATATATATATATATATATATATATATATATATAAACTAAATACATTTACTTATCTAGTCATTGTTTCCTGAGTAATAATTTATGCTTATTATTAGATTGGAATCCAAGTGTGCAGATGAAAAGCCTTGTCCAGTGTTCAATATGAGTGAGATATCTAGCACTTTCAAGCATTTCTCCGTTTATTTAGTGTGTTACTACCACATTAGTATGATTGATTTGTATGTTTTTTGACTGTTAATTTTTCATTACCCAATTAAAGTTCATTTTTAAAAACAATAGAATCAAAAAGAAAGAGTACAATCCAGTGAAAACTCATTTTAATAGTTTGGCAGTAATGTATCCATTGTTGAAGATTAAAACTCCCTATGTACTACTTAACACTAGGTTATAATTAGCTTAAACAACTGTTAAATGTTCAATCATATATTAACTACTGATAACACATACATAGAGGATAAATAACAATCACAATAATTAATCAATGAAGTACACTGAATTCGGTGTTCATTATATACATATCTGAAGATAATGCGGGCTCAAAATGTATGTCTGTGATTTTTAAAGAACATATTCTAGCATATTAATATGATCAAAGGGTATATATACATATATTCTTATGAGTAAATCCTCTCAGCAGTTGATTGATCCGGGGACAAATTTTCTCCGATCAAATATTTTTTTACTCACAGTCAAAAAGATACAACTATCTTACCACCTACCCAGTCACCTAATCATAGTCTTTTTCAGTCTCTTTTACTATCTATCACTAATAAAAACAATTGATGTAATTCAATTTAGTATCTATTACTGTTTTACAGTAGCATACTGTCATAGAGTAAGTACAATGGGTCAAGGTCATATGTACATATATGACATGGATATGAATCAATTGTCTCTACTATTTGTGAAATAATCGATACATCAAAGTTCTCTTGTTAATTAGTATTTTTAAGAACATTGATTGAATATTTAACCAAACTATTAATAAATATCAAAGACCTTAAAAAAGTTGTTTCATCCTAATATAAGACCCATTAAAAATCTGCGATCAAACATCATAACCAATATGTTATCTTTAAACTAATAATTCGTCATCACTTCCACTTGATGACACATCGATATATCACAGTAAAAAATGTTACCACCGAGCTACTCAGGCCGTAGATTGATTTGTAGTATACGATCAACGCTAAGAAGTATTCGACATAGATGATTTTGGTCCATATCTAGTGGCCGATTAATTGTATGTATCAATTTATTCCTTATAGTTAAGATTTGTTCACTTCATAACATTATATTAAATGAACTATTAATCTTTACAGTAATGTACGAATGTAGTATTCCTTAATTTGAACATTAAGGTGTCATTCTGAACAACAACAAATACCAATTATTTCAATGTATTTATAGTGTATCTATCATTAACTGGATACAATTTATAACATATAGAGTTTTTGAAGCATTTCTTATATTACTGTTAAGATTATGCAAATTTAATTGGTCAGAAAGGCTAGAAATAAATGATGTGCACAATGTCAATCAACTCAATAAAAATTTTAATCATTTATATAAGGGGATTTGTGAATTTTGTAGAATTTTCAATTTAGATTAAACTGACTTTACCTAGACCACATTGGAGACAAGTAAGCACTGAATGGTCATTTCGTTGTAGTATGGATATCCTTTACACTGGTTATCCACAAACCCACGCGTTAGGATCTAACCCAGAACTGTCGATCTCACGTGTGAACACTTAACCTGTAGACCACTAATCTGATACTAATGGTATTAATGTCTAGCTTCAATTAATTTATGATATTGTGCAGCCCTCATCCACTGCCTGTGATGAGTAGCTATTTCAAATATGACATGGTTGAGGCAATGGATCAGCGTTGCGCAATATCGTGAATTTATTGAAGTTAGACATTCAAACTATTAAATGTCAGCTCAGGTAGATCAAAGGTTTTAATTTCGATTTTCTAGGTGTATGGTCGTAAATATACACTAGAACGAAACAACCATCTAGTGTTTCCAGATTTTCAGTGATGTTGTAAATAAGATCAATTTGTAATTCAAACTATGAAAAATTAAATCAGCTGGCAATAATCTCCTTGGCAATAAAACGCCTTTTAGTCCTAACAATACCTTATATTTTGTTTTAGAAAACCCACATAACCCCATAAAATTCAAATGAACTTTTTTAAAGTTCGATAGTAGCTAACGACGGAAATGAGGATGTGAATTTTATTATATTTAGATACGCCTGCATCACAGCGTCGATGTTTACGTTATGGTTTATTATTATTGTTATTATTGGCTTTATTATATTATTTTATATTTTTGGTACAATATCGAATTCTTAACAAAAAGTATTTCAAGAAGTTTCCGTTTCTTATTTCTCGATCGATCTTTGAGATAAATATTGAGTGATCGCCAGTTAGATGTTAACAGTTCATGAATCAACATATTGCCAGCAACCATGAGCTCTTATGTAATTTGTACAGTGAAATGTTGTAAACTTGTCACAAACTCTCTTGAATAGGTTATGCAACCAAATAGGCATAATAATGTGTTAAAACAAACAAGAAAACAGACAATTTGTTGAAATATCCAAATGGTAAAAACAGGTAGCCCATATATTCAAACAGGTCATCCAAGTACCTTTTCCTTGGAACACAAATGTATTCACCACTGAACTACTACTGAATTCAGATAATCACTAGCTTATACAATTGATATTCATATTAAAAGTTACAAAATTTAAACAAATGTAAACACTTTTTTTTACAAAATCTCGAAAATTTAATTTATTATTTCATAACTACTAACCACTTAAGTAGTTTTTTTTCTTTTTGTTGGTTTCTCAAATGTTTCTTGCTTATGTGAAATCACTGTAAACTGTATTCAAGTTAACGAAAATGATAAAAAATAACTCCGTATAAAAAAAATTATTCTTAGTTTATTTCTATGATAATTAACCCTTATCATTACTGATTTTTTGTGTATGTACTTAGGTATATATGTGTACGTGTGTGTGGGGGCGGTGGTGGTGGTGGTGGTGAGGAAGTGTTATGTATGTGCGCAGCAATATAAAAACTAAGATAACCTATTAATATATTCCTTTTCTCTCTATTTTGAAAGTATTTCGGTTACTGTCCTGTTTGTATGTGTGTTATTTCTGTGTTTTCCATATTCCATAATAAACTATTATATGAGTTATTTCTTTATTTTAAAAAAATATCGAAAAGATAATTGCTCTGTTCATTTTTCACTTCTTCAATTTATATTCCAAGCAATTGATGACAATGAACTACTCATTGAGAAGAGAAGTAGCCTGATTCAGTTCTATCCTCTTATCATATGAAGATATATAACGCCTCTATTACAAGTCATTCATGCACACATACATGAATCTATAGATAATATGATATATGAACGTATAAACACTTTTTTGTCTACAATCTACAAGTTGATAATCTTAATTATTTTAGATAAGTATATCGGTTCTTATTTTAATTGTTCACGTGGGTGTATGTATGTATAGAAGAGAAAAAAGAGAAAAGGAGAGAAAGATAGGTAAGGGGTAAATGTAAATGAAAAGAAAATTAACCTGAATAATTAATTTGCCAATATCTATAATAATTAAGTATATGTTGAAAATGAAAGAAAACCCCATGTGATGTCATACCATGAATATTATTTCATTTTAATCATTTAGATAGTAGAAAATATGAAGAAAAAAATGAATAGGTCATGCGGTTCGAATCTTACAGGGCAGTATCATGGATGAGCACTACTGAGGAGTTCCATACTAGGATAAAAGGGATGTCCAGTGCATTCAAGTTTTCTATGGTGACCTAGCTTCAATTGACTCATGAATTCAACTATTTAAATTCATATACGGATGGATTATGGAACTGAATAATAGACGAAATTTTTATTTGAACATGGGGATTTATTGAAAACCTGGAAGAACTGGACGACCGTTTCATCCTAGTATGGTACTCTTCAGTAGTGTGTATCCACAATACCGCCTCACAAGTTTCGGACCCAGAACCTATTAGTCTTGCAAACGAACGCCTAACCTCTAGACCACTGAGCCGTCTGGCATCCAACGGTGTTATTATCTAAATTCAACCAATCTACGGAATTGAGCCACCGGTCACCATTGTCTTCAGTGAGTTACTATCTCACAACAAGCCTGGTTGAACTCTACTGGTCACCGCTTCTCACTAGAACTCCAGGAACTACCTGTTGAAGCCGGTCACTAGTGGGTAGATGATTATTATCACAAGGGGGATTTTGTGGAGATTTTAGTAATTTTCATGAGTAATGAGTTAGTTGAAGCTAGACCACCATGGAAAACCTGGAAGCACTGGACGGATTGAAAACTATACACAAAATCAAATTTAATGGTTGAATACAATTAGTACCCTCATTTCTAAATATATCATTCATGAACCTATTTCGCTTTTCGACTACTTTTCATTGGTTAATATCAATTTATAATAAGAATTAATGTTTAATTTATCAAAAAAAACTAAGGTCCATTTCAGATGTATTAAAACAAATTCGGAATAATGGTCCATAGGTTAAGACATTCTATTTTAGCCCACTAAGTAACAATTTCTAACGTCGTTTAACCTATTTCATTTTAAGGAGATGATTTGTATCATTGACTGTTATACTCAAACTGTTACTCAAAGCCAATACACAAATTTATGCCCAATAAATAAATTCCTCTTATTGAATATTCATTTCAATGTTCCCCAATATTTGATATATATTTCATTCATGATAGATATTTCCTGATATTTAACTATATATTCAAATTCATGTTTGTGTAACCTATTTTAATCCAGACTTTTTTACATAAAGGCTTGTGATCCTACACACACATCACGTGTACTTAACAGAATCGATGACACAACAGACGAAAGTTGAATCGGTTACCTATTATGACATCACTTCTGATCCATAAATTGTAATCATATTCGGTTTTTCTTTGACATAAAATTCAACACAGACAGATTTTCTAGTGATATGTAAGAATATAGATTTATTTTGTAACTATATTCTAATGGGATCCCTATGGGGCTAATGTCGGTTACAAGCCCGGATAAAGGAGAAAGTCCTGTGGAAAACTAACTCGCTAAATAAACGCTAACCAGAAAAAAACAATATTCTAATGGAGGCGGTCAAAAGTAACATAGAATATAACATACTTATACAGTCGTTTAATTTAACTCATTATTGATCATTGGCAGTAATATAATAAATGGATTTAGTTCAGTGTAACTCATGATGTCAGAAAAAACGTTATGCGCATCTGTATAAAAGTAGGATAGACAACAATCTCAAAATTGAAAATCTACAAAATAACTGATATTATTAGCAAACAGTTGATCTTACAAAAAAACTCTAACTTGATTATGTAATCAAAATTTCGAATACTGACTGCAAAAATCTTGACATGAACAGGTAAATAGTGAACTGGATGTCATAACCAAGACCATAAAGATGGTAGATGATACCAGAAATAAATCAAAATGAGAACTGAACACATAGCTTTTTTAAATTATTTATTTACAGTTAAATTAACATTCGAATTTGTTAAACTGGAACTAAACAGTACTTGACACTAATTAATTCAATGATAATTTATTGTCTAAATACATGTTTACAATATTATAGAATACCACGACCATAAACAACAGCTTTAATGAATTCACTAAGTTGTATAATCAGTTATAGTCCCCAACTGCTATGCTACGGCCGAGGTTGGGGCGAGTCAGCTCTCCTTCTTCAAATGCTCTCACATGACCACATATAAACAACCACTTTCAGGGAAGTCCTACTCATTGACTTCTCGTGGACAGGGTGTTATCTATGAAATTAAGAGGACGAAAAGCGAATGTCCGGCGCTTTAACTGGGTTTATGGATATGGTGGTTTCAACTAAGCGAGTTGCAAAACTTTGATTTCAAACCCTTGGTGCACATGGGCTCCAGGATCTTGAGAGAGTAATTGGAGTACCAGAGTATTGTTCGTCACCTGGTACCATGGAACTGCAGCTCCTGACGTCGCCCCCACTGCCTTGTGGATCAGAACTTTAGGGTGCGGCCCCCTAAGAAAACCATCTGCTTTGGTCTGGATACCCATATAGTTTCACAGCCCATACACAAATCATGTGTATTGTGTGGCGCATATGTATTCGGTGCCTCTTTGTACCAGTGTTTATGTGTTCAAATAAATAAATAAAATAATTGGTCATTCTTATTTATGATAAACGATTGGAAAAAATCAGTTTCGTATATCACTCACGTTCTAATCAATCAAGTACATAATCAACATGTCACTGAGAATTTAGTCTTCTAAGTAATACAATCACACATGGGTGAACGAATTATGAAGTAATAATTAATATGAATATTGTTATTATTCATATTACGTAATCTAGTATTATAACCTTTTTATTAACTGTGTTCACATTTCCTCACGGAATTAGTACTTTTAAAATAAAAAAATTTTCATATATATACGATTGTACAGCTTGATAATAAATCCGTTGAAAAGAGATCCCTTCGCTGAAATTCGTGTTTTAGCTTCTAGAAGTAATTTTCGGAATTATAGTGAGAAGCCGTGACTATTGGAATACAACCGAATCGACAGTTAGCCACCAAAAATAATGGAAAGTAGTTGCACAATGTTGTGGCTAAATGTAAACATTAACACCGTTAGATGCCATTTCATTGGTCTAGATGTTAAGTGTTTGCGTAAGGGTGGAGGACCTGGGTTCGAGTACAGTATGAGGGATCATGAATACGCACTACTCAAGAGTACTATACTAGGATCAAACGACTGTTCAGTGCTTCTAGGTTTTTAATGATGATCTAACATTCATAGGTTCAAGATCTCAATATAAACTTATAATTGATAAATTCATTACATCATATTAACATTGACTAAATAAACCGGATAATAAGGTCGATTTTTAATTTTTTTCAAGTTCAAAGTTGAATGCTTGGATTATATAATCACAGATTTCTAAACAAATCAGCTGTATTTATGATGACAGACCATAAACGTTTAGTACTATTTACATTCAAATAGTTCATGATCCAAAAAATATTTCTCTTCTGTAAAAGAAATATAACAAACATGCACACACACACACCGTTTGTTTGTTGCAACATTATTCATATTGATACTTTGACAGAAAAAAAAGAGAAAAGAATTTTATTATGACTGTTGATTATTTCTCATATTTCGTGCATTTCATCAATAACATTGTTGTTGTCATCCCGGTCATCATCATCATCATCGAGATGATAATGTCGTGACAATTCAAAGAAGAATGATCTTACTTTAAAGTAACATATTTAATTCGACATTAACTAAACAGATGGTCAAACATATGTATACTTCTACTATAAATCCTTCACAATTATTCATGATTACATAATTATAGCAGTTCATTATCAATGTTAACCTTCAACTCGTTCTTCACATACAAATTATGTGTACTGTAAAGAGTAGGATAGTTTATACAACCAATCAATAGTATTACTGAACTCATTCGAACTTTTTTTGATATACACATTGTGTATACACGTGTAGGTGAGGATGATTATTGATGAAGCGAATAAACAAGTTCTTTTTAATCTGATCAATCAATGTTCATCTCACAAGTAGATCAAAAATTGATTAAGATCTAAGCTGATTAGTACAGATTTTCTTGAAACGAACTGTAGAATGAAATTTTTATTTATACTCATACATTGATTAACTTGTCTAATTATTATGTGGATAAATAAACGATTGTCTAAGGATGGTTAAATTACGTTTCAGTTTAGATAGTTGGGTAGTTCCACAAACATACATACAGTTAAAGAAATATGACCAAAACTAATATTACAAATCACTTTTTGTTACTCGAGTTTCATTACATTAAGATAATCAGTCAGTAACAACGTAGAACTTCGTACGTACGTACATCAGTTCGAGTTGCCATACCACATCAGCACAGAGATAACCTTAGATAATGGAAATAATATATGTACATTGATAATCTATCCATCACATTCACTAAGAAGTATCATGATACGTTTAAACAACTCAGTCTAAACGTGATGCCTGAAATTATCATGCTATTCCATGACAAATATTCAATGTTATCATCAATGATATTTACTCATAAATTTGTTTTACTGATCAATCAACACAAAAATCTTACTTCCTAGATCTCAATTAAAACAAAAACGGGTTGGTAAACTCGATTAAAAGATTATTATACATATATATGCTGGCCTAGTGGTCTAGTGGTTAAGCGCTAGCTAGTGAAACTAATGGGTCCTGGGTTCGAATCCCACGAGGCGGGGTCGTAGATGCGCACTGCTGAAGAGCTCCGCAATGGGACGAAATGGCCGTCCAATAATTTCAGGTTTCTTATGGTGATCTAGTTTCAATTGACTCATGATCTCAACTATTGAAATTACTACAATATCCACAAAACCCCTTCTGATATTATACAATATCCCAATTAAACATGAATGATTTACAAAAGTTTTGTTATTGTTTTCATTTCATAATGAGAATATTTCTCATAATTGATTATGATATAATCAAGATAGATACTTTTTTTAGAAGATATATACTTACTTGTGTTTGTGTTAAGCCAAGTTGTGATGCTAAACTTGCACGTTCTGTTAAATTTAAATATTGAGAATTAACAAAACGTCGATTTAACATTTGCAATTGCCATATTGAATAGATTGTACGCGGTTTACGTATTTTTTTATTCTTTATGATAATATTATTATTATCAGTATTATCATTATTATTATTACTATTATAAACATTTATTTGTGATACATTATCGTCTTGTGGTGAGATGGAATTTGTTTGAGAAAAATAATCCATTGATGATGAGATTGGTGAGTGTTGTGATTCATCGTCTAAAATAAGAAATATGTGTAAAAGAGAAAGAGATAAACAGGTTAAAATATAGTTTCTGAGTAAATTGTTTAGTTTAAAATAAAATAACATAAGTTAATATTTAATTGGAAAATCTCCACTTAAGAGTTAATTGCCCCCAAATGCACTGGTATGGCCGAGAGTGGGGTGGGCTCGCCCTTCCACTCGAAATACTTTCACACGGCCACGCGTATACAGCCTCTGCCAGGGAAGTCCTGCTCACTGCCTTCTCATAGCGGGGGTGTTGTTTACGAAATTGAGAGGACGAAAAGCGAATGTCCGGTGCTTTAACCGGATTCTAAACCAATGGTGCACATGGGCTCCAGTATCCTGCGGAAACAAATGGTGTATGAACCAATTATCGGTCACTGGCTACCATGAGAATGCATCTCCTCACGATGCTCCACTGCCTTGTGGGTTAGACCTTAAGGTCAAAGGCTTTGGGTGTGGCCTCCTAAGATAACCACCTGCTTCGGTCTGGGCACTCGGGCGGTATCACACAAATCGAATGACTTATATGTCGTATATCTACTTGGCGCCTTCTTGTGCCAATGTTCATGTGTTTAAATAATAATAAATAAGAGTTAATTTCATTAATGAATCAATTTTGAATATTTTATAACACCTATGAATGGAATGGTTGCACAATTTAGACTATTATATTCTAATTCAATTTTGTACTTGTATCTTGTTTATCACAATACAATGTGATTATGAATTCGATGAAATATCTGAAGACTATGAAGAAGTTACGAATTAACACTGTATTATCAATTCCTCAAACTTCAAAATCTTCTGATAATATACAATTATATGATAATTAGATTATTTAAGCAATATTATGGTCAATGTTAATTTTACTTCACTGAGAAATTCATAGTAGAATCAACTTAATTGTAACACATTTGTGTCATTATTTAAGGGATGCGCTCAACTATACAATTGTATACAACAAATCAATAATCTAACATTAAAAATCTAAATTAGTTAATCAGCCAAAGTCAATAGTAGAATCTGACATATGTGTACATTGATTCAAATTGCCATACACTATTAGCATAGCAATATAATATTGTCCAGGCAAATTCCATAATAATAGAGGTAGCAACAATATTAATAATAACAAAAAGTGATTAAACATCAGAGATATAATTCGAAAAAAAACTATTAATTGCTGAAGTAGAAAAATTATCAGGAATTTAAGAAACTTAAGACGTAAACGAAGACAAAAATGCTTGAATATTTCTTCAGAAAGTATTTTATTTAATTAAGAAGTTAAAAAAACTTGCAAAAGTTACATTTGTCAATACACTAAATAAAACAAAATCTATTTTACCTAACTAAGTAGATAATTATATGCTCAAATTTGTGATCATATTATATAAGGTTTAATGATCTTTCCTAGTTGTTCAAACCAATGTAGGTGTAAATGAGATAATGTTTTAGTGATTAAAGCACTCAACTTTTAGATATTAAGTTGTATGTTCAAAACATATTGCCTTTATTTCTGTATAAATAGTTTACAATGTCACTATAAGTCAAGAATAAGTCTGTACATGAAAAAAGATATAATAATAAAGTAAACTAGGGTTTGGAACTACTAGACCATAAACTTATATATATATATATATATATATATATATATATATATATATATATATATATATATACGTCTAATTTAATTTCAAGACTAATTATCTGAATAATAAATAATTTGAACATCATATTAGATCCAGAAACGAGGAATATTTCAGTAAACAATCTGTTTTTAGTAATTTCACTTTTAAGATATACAGTCGTAAATCAATAAAGTATGTAACACTAATAGTTGAAATCTTGAGTCAATTGAAGCTAGACCACCATGGAAAACCTGGGAGCACTGAACGACCGTTTCATCCTAGTATGGGACTCCTTAGTGTACGCATCCACGATCTCGCCCCCCTCCCACGGGATTCGAACCCAGGGACTATCAGTCTCGCGCACGAACACTTAACATCTAGACTACTAAGATGGTCAGCACCCAGCGGTGTTAATGTCTAACTTCAGCCAATACACGAAATTGCACCACCATACATTATTGTCTTCAGTGAGCTGATATCTCACAACAGACCTAGTTGAACTCCACTGGTCACGGCTTCTCACTAGGACTTCAGCAGTGTCTCTTGAAATCAGTCACTAGTGAGTAGATGATTATTATCAGAAGGGGTTTTGTGGAGATTTTTAGTAAGTTCAATAATTGAAATCATGAGTCAGTTGAAGCTAGACCACCATAGAAAACATGGAAGTACTGGAATAATATTAGACAAGATATTTAGGCATCAATGGGATTAAATGCATTTCATCTTTGATAATTCTGAGTTCTCTAAAATGAATGGCTTAATTATAAAGTTTTAACCATAATTAACTAATAAATTAAAATAATAAGTAAATAATTAGGAAAGAAAGAAAGGACGAAAACGATATTGTTCAGAACAATAATAAACATTACTCAGTAACACTATTAAACTCTAAAAACGCAATTTTATCAAAAAAATACAACAGAGCTTTAAATGTTCTTTATTATATAACAAATAAATATATGACTCTAGACTTTTAAGGGTTATCCATTTCATTAGATTGTTATGATTATGTAACTGTAACAATAATTGCACGTATTTAACACTTATCATTGATTTTTTTTTATAACCATTGCATACTTGTGGATGTGTTAAGGCTAATTGAACATTTAATGATTACTTTAACGTTACATATTTACTTGATTTCCTTTTTAATATGATCTTTTTCTCGTTTAGCTCTAATATATTTTTTCTAAACAAATACTGGCAATAATATATATGATCAAAAAATACTTCGGATCCGTTGGTCGGAGACTATCAGTAACAACCAACTGTGCGAAAGAACAAACCAGATCCCAGAAGAGGAAGAAATCAGGAAGAAGCGCTAGAAGTGGGTAGGACACACATTGAGGAAAGCACCCAACTGCGTCAAAAGACAAGCCCTCACATGGAATCTTCAAGGCCAAAGGAGAAGAAGAGGAAGACCAAAGAACACATTACGCCGGGAAATGGAGATAGACATGAGAAAAATGAACAAGAATTGGATGGAATTAGAAAAGAAGGTCCAGGACAGAGTGGGTTGGAGAATACTGATCTGCGGCCTATGCTCCATTAGGAGTAACAGGCGTAAGTAATATATGATCAAGTTATTGGGTGGTTGATTTTAATGAATTGGTCTAAAGTCAACCAAAATATTGTCTTTTTAACCTGTTATCTTGTATGGAAAGACTACCATCTAAATTCCTAAAATCAACATGTTGTTGTTTATTTTATGCAACATTCATTAGTATTTCGCTATATGAATCAGCGATGTAGTTGTTGTGAAGCGATTGACTTAGGACTTCCAACATACCTATTCATGGATTCTGGGATTTCAGAAATAACACTAGTATTTACTTGATTGCACACTATTATTTCCCGATTCAGTAGTTTAAAGATTGAGCTTTCGTGCACGAAACTGAGGGTACCGGGTTGAATTTCCGTCTATGAGGTTGTGTATGTGTACTAACATAGGGGTCCATGTTATAATGAAATAACCATCCAGTACTTCTAGAATTTCAAAGGTTGTTTGGTTCATGATCTTAATAAATTTCGAGTGAATTAAACCTCCATATTTGATGTTTCGGACACAAGTATATTGAAAAGTATTTTTATTTGACTACATGTTACTTTCTACACTAGAATTAACAATTATTGGAGAATTTAAACTAGACATAATGTCCAAATTTCATGAACTAATTTTAACAAATGAATTATTGAAAAACTTCTGAACGTCTGATATGTTGTGTACACATTCTTGTCGTATTCTAAATTAGGATTTTAAAAAAAAGGACATACACCCATTGTTCAGTATTAGGATCCATTGTACTGCAAAAGGTGGGGAGAGTTAGCTCTCTTATTGCATTATGTATATATCATCTTTACCAGAGTAGTCATATTCATTGCTTTTACACAAGTGTTTTTAAGGAAGTTAGGGAAGAAGATCCTACTAGAAATTCGTTAAAATTGTAATACCAATTGAGCTCACATTTTAATTTCAACTTCTTAATATAAGGTTTGAAGATTTCACATAATCGATAATAAGTATGTAATCTGACGATTTTCATGCTCATTTTACACACGCGCATACATTCACGAGTAAACAGACTTAACGAGTCACATTGTCCTGATACATTAACATAGTTACTATTTTGTTAAATATGACTCGTGGCGATAAAAATTAACAGAGAAATGGAAAATAAGTTTTTACAACTAAATACATGAACAACCGTTATCCAGATTGAGAACGCAACATAGAAAGAAAATGAAAAAGATTTAAGTCGAAGCACTTCTATACAAAAATGTGAAAGTGTGTTTATATGTATGTACGTATATGTGTATGCATACATGAATTCCGATTTCGTCTTGCATTGATAGTAAAAGCCAATTATATATATGTATATTGACTCCACCTCACCCTCAGGGCTATTCAACAGATGATTTTTTTTATCTTCCCCTTAAAAAAGTCTGTCGTTTTCAACTTTTCTTTAAAAAAAATTATCAATAGATAATTATAGGCTAAACTTATTTCTAGTCATCTTTTTTTACCATCATCACACTCTCTGCTGCCATCCCACCCCCATTTAAATGTTTCCACACATATACATACTTATCTTTCAGTTAATTTTTCCTTTGTTTCCTTCTGTACTACTTACATTCCGAATTAAAAGTTTATATCAGTAGTTGATAACATGTGTGTCAATGATACAATCGTATGTATGTGAATGTACAGTCGTGTTAACTTCATGGTTGATAAGCGATTCGGTTAACATGAACACACATTATATAAACCTTATCAAAATGTAATCAATAAACGAAATGACGAAAATCTTTCTCTTTTAACTAAGAAACAAAGTAGGCATGTTTTCACACTGGAAACTTTTTTT